ACTCCATATGACCCCACCCCCCTTCCCACTCAGATTGGCCAGTCTGCTATCTGGTCCGCTGATTGGTTCTGTTAATGACCATATGTAGTAATATTATAGATTTCTTAGGCGGAGCTATAATGTATTAAATAAGGAAAAAAAAATTCAGCAACTAATAGAAACTAATTACAAGAGAATCTGATAAAGACATTTATAGAGAAACTGAGCAGTTTGTCTTTTAGTCATAATATCAATTTTACATTGGTTTGAAGTCTGTACAAAATTGCATCTTTCCACTTATGGAGGTAAAGATCGAACTTTATCAGGACCTGCACTCATAAAACATCCAAGAATAGATGCTCTGAGGCTTTGTGGTCATGTTACATGCCTAGAAAAATGTAATTATGTTCTCATATAACACTGTAGCTTTTTTTATATAATTCGAGACTCCAGTCCCTTGGTCTGTATCAGTATCGTTTACTGTTGGCCACAGAGCCCCAGAGTCCACGCTTGCTGGCTAGACTACCGTGACAGCTGGAGTGGCCGTCACCTCCGTCTCCCAACTGCTTCCTTGTTTTCTGACCTAATAACACTTTAACTGGCAGGTTCCCAGGTCTAGATTCACCTGTGGTAAACATCTGTGTACCTGAGCCAGACAGGTTTTTGCAAATAATGATATAACCTTCTTGGAGTTCTATACAAGCGTGGCCTCCTGCATCAGGTCAGCCCAATTAGTATCTGTTAAGGGGTCAACCTTAAAAAAGTATAATTTTGTGGCGTTCAAATGCCAAAAGATACCAACAATCATTTTATTAGTATAGCATTTTTGTAGTTAACCCCTCCGACCTGGTAGCACGTACATACACAGGAATAAAATCAATCAATCAATCAATCATTTAATCAATAATAAATACTCACTGCAGTTGATTTAATATGTTGCATCATGTGTTTTGTCATTATAGTAGAGAAAGAGCAGTGGCCAGTCACTCTGAGGCTGGGCTGACTTCAACCAGGGTGTGATCCCTCAGCTCTTGGCTGTGTTTGATAAAGATTATTTCAATCCTATTTTCTGCCCTGAAATGCTTTCGCTAATGTAATTCTCTCTGTGCCAGATTCCCCACTCTCTCTCTGTGTGTGTGTGTGTGTGTGTGTGTGTGTGTGTAGTGTCTGTCTGTCTGTCTCTCCCTCCTAAGGAACACTAAGCACCTTATCCATGTTAAGGACTGACAAAAGCAGCAAGAAGAGAGCTGTGGTAGCGTGTTGTAATTCTCTACCACAGATTCATTATCTGTGTATAAGTACTGGCAGGCTGCTGGTTACAGATTGCATGTGTTTGCATGTGTGCATCAGTGTGTGTGTGGCCGTGTATTACCTCTATAAAATGTCTCCGGTATTACTTATGTTGTGGGGACATAAATTTGTTTACACATTCACATTGTGGGGACTCACCTTCCTTTTGGGGACTCAACTTCCTTTTGGGGACAAAATGTAAATGCCCATAACATAAATCATTACATTTTAGAGTGAAGACTTGGTTTAAGGCAGGGGTTTTCAGAGTCTGTGACTGTGGGCCTACCGGCAGACAAAGCTTGACAAAAGGCGCCCTTCACTCCCACTTAGTTTACTTGCTTAGTTTCGCTAATTCCTGGATGCTTATGGGATCATAATTATGTTATTTGGTCTATAGACATGAAAAACTTGAACCAAGATAGCCAAATATTACTGTTTGGCATAACTTCAGACTACACTAAAAACATTTTTTAAAAGTCTGTCCTGAGGCATTTATTGGTTTCTGACAGGCAAAATTGGAAAAACAGTAAAATTCCCCAAAACTGCTATCTCTGAACTATCTCTTTAACCTAATCACACACATGTAGTGTATTCTATGGAATCTCTTTTTGATAACTAATGTAATAACTTTACACTTCCATTCACTGAGCCTTCCCTGAAACAGTTAGTAGCCCACCTGGGACCTCTGGTTTAAGGTAAGGTTAAGTTTAGATTATGCTTTCTACATTCTGAGGTTGTAGCTCAAGGTGCACTGGTACAGGTAAAATTAATACAAACACTCCTACTATGATAAAAATAACTTTATACAATCATCAAACAACGTACTTGTAAGTGTTGGGCAAGTAGTGGTTAAGGTTAATGCTTGTTAGGAAACTAATGATGAAGTGATGTGGTTTGTTTACTCATTTTGTACATAAAAATGACTTGTGAGGATTTTGAGAAGAGACTCTCTGTGCACATATTTGTGTTTCCTGATTCCATACATCTATGGCCATTCATAGTCCTGCCGTAATCTTAAATGAGAAATTATTTTCAAATGATCCTATTGTAGCCAGTTTACCATAGTTTCACTTGCAGAGAACTGGAGAGCCACTAGAGGGTGCTACATAGTCCAAGTCATAATTTAATCATCTTCCATTTCCAGAAAGTTTGGATGGGAAAGATCTGAATTTCTTGTTCTTATTTACTATTTATTATTACATAATAGTAGTGTAGTATATTAATGTAGCATCCAGTATCCTTAAGAAGAAAATCAAAGAAAAATACACAATGTGAAAAGTACTAACATTAAAACAAAATCTTTTTAGGAGACATTTAACCCAATTAATGACAATGAATGAATAATAATAAATACTGAGTTATAATCAAGTTGAAAAAGATGTGCACTGTTGTTTAGAGTTACTGCTGTAACATTTGCTAAAGAAATCTCAATGTACACGTAGTGTTTTTACTGTACACAAACATATAATTATGGTGTAGTTAAGGGTTCTAATCAAAGCGTTATCCCCTGTACAGCAGCAGTGAGAAGAGTTAGAGATATAAATGTTTCTCTGATGTTATTGATTCCTGCTGTGGCTCCATGTCTGGCTGACTGTAGAGAGTCAGCGGCCTCCACAGCAGCATCAGGGTGTGTGTGGTGAGACTTCGGGGGTGGAGACTATGAGCGTGTAAATCAGTGTGTGAGTGAGTGCATGTGTAGTGGTGGGCCTCTATGATCTCAGCCTGCTCTCTTTTTGTTCTGTGTCGTCACAGTGACCTCTACTGCCTACATCTATACAGGTAACCTATAGACAACCGTACTGTGCTGGCATACATATTTTACTTAAGGCAAAATAAGCAAATAAACCTACGGATCTAACACTTCAGCTTCATCTTATCTTCATCTTCTTATTTTCCCTTATCTCCATAATGAGACATGAAGTGGTGGTTCAGTATACTTGTGTTTGTACCTCCCAATTTATAAATAGAGACCTGGGGCCTGTGCCACGAAGCAGGATTTGAGCTTATGCAGGTAACTTCGGGCTTAACCCTGAATTTTCAGGACCACGACAGTGGATCACTTCTTACCGGGGTAGGTTGCCATGGTAACTTATGCTGAAAGGCTAACCTGGTCCGGAGCAGGTTATGTTCAAGATAAGAGATCAACTCCATGATGATGTGGAGAAACGTTTGTAGGCTCTATCGATATCATTATACAGAGACTGATTGAAAAGCCTTGTAAGCTACTTCTTACTGTAGTTTTTTACAGTAAGCCTACTTACTGCTTTAAAATGTGTTTTATATTTTTTTGTTGCTCCCCAGTCCGTTTCACACAGCCTGTCACAGCTGTTAAAATAAACGGGTGTCATTTTTCTTATGTGACGCTGAATATTATGAGCAGTTTGGTAGGGACATTAAAATACATTTTAATATGAACTTAGGCTATTTATTTTAGGTTAGTAGTTATCTTATAGGCTATCACAGACACTTGTCATGTAGAGGCCCACCTTTTGCGATGTGGGAACAGGTAATGAGGTGAGTTTTCAGTAGCCTAAATGTTGAGATTCAGTCTGTCAATTTGTTCATTTAGAACAATTTTACAGTCAGTTACAGTTAAGTACATATGCTATCATTGTACATGCATGAAGGTGTCAATAAATGACTTCTATTGCTTTTATACATGCATGTTAGCAAACTGCAGTTGCACACAGTGGACTCATTTACACATATTGTGTATTATAAGTCACTCTAAGTAAGATCATCTGCTAAATACTAAAATAAGTGTTTAGTAGCCTATCGGAGAGTTCCACTTCAGGCAGCACTGTATGTGAGAGAAGGACTCCAAGTATGCTGTGAGTTTCTCTGCTTATCCCTCTCAGCAACTGGTTCGTATGTGCTTGAATGTTAATGCAGTCTGGTCCTAAAAGATGGCTGTGACCTTAGCTGTACTGTGTGTGTGTGTGTGTGTGTGTGTGTCTCACTCATACACACACACACACACACACATACACACACACACACACACACACATAGACAGACAGACGGACAGACAGACAGACCCTTCATCCTTCCAAGGATGTGAAGATCTTCTTTCCTGAGGGACTGATAGATGAGGAAGGCTGAGGTGTTGATTACGGCAGTGCTCAACAGTCAAGTGCGTGTGTCGGTAAGTGTGTGTGTGTGGAGTATAGCAGCAGGTTAAAGAGAGGGGTAGTCGGCTAGCACCTACTCTAGACTCCTTTACAGCTGCTGGAAACATCAAGTGTTAAATTGCACACTCTTCCAACCCATGAGGTTGCACTTACACAAATGCACACACACAGAGTGTTGGGGACATTACTTATACAAGCTTTAAGGTTCTTCGCATTGAATGTTGAACTACACCAAGACTTACCTTAACAAAAGAAGAGTTTTATTCAGAAATTACTTGGACTGTTAAGATTCTACTGACTCAAATGTTAACAAGTCGAATGTAAAAAGTTTTGTAAAGGGTAAGAGTTACCACTGCCTTTAGCCTTTAGAACATCTTATAATGACAAGAAAACTATTTGCTTATAACAACAACAAAAAAATTTGCTTGTTAAAGTCATTGTAAGATGTTCTGTGTTGTTAACTGTGAGCTATACTGAGCTAACTAAACTAATATGGTATGTGTGAGACTGATTATTAAGCTTACTGCAAGACTGCAAGATAATTACAGAAAGTTAATGATCATTTTATGACATTTGTCTAACTTTCTTTTTTTCTTCCAGCAACAACGCCGTCTAGACCTGTTAACCATCACCAACTCCGGTAAGTCCCTGAGATCTTCATTTTTGCCCGCAGTCCACCTCTCTACTTCAGCACCACTAAACCATTGATATAAAACCCACTTTTATATTAGCCTAAACTAATACTATTAAAAAATGCACTTTATAAATCTAAACAGCACCTAAATGGTCATGTACACTGCTCATGGACACACACTAACACATATTGCAAACAATTAAAAATGCTATAAACACAACTAAATTTATGCACTACTGAGTCATACAATCTTCAATCACTCTTACATGAAACACTTGATTTAGTAGGGAACTTAAATAGAATATTTTCAATTAATTTTTACGAGCATATTGTATCGCTGTACTGTTTATGGTTTCATTTTATTTTCAGTATGCATATGAGAGGTAAAATGTGTTTACACTTTATTCAGATTAGTTTGAATAGTGTCCAATATGCACCTCAAACTTGTAACATGCTCTAGTCAGGCGCACATATGGTGCTCCAAGTTTGACTGGATGTGGAAACATGTCATAAAGTAGTTGCAATGTTAGAAATCTATGGCATTTTCTTACTGGAAAGAGGCAGCTGTGAGAACGATGGATCCACTGAGATGGAAAGCAAGGAGAAAATTGAAAAACGGGGGAGGAGTAACAGATGGATACGGCAAGGAGGATACAGAGGCCCATATGTCTAAAGTATCTGGATGATCTAATATGCTTTGATTAGAATAATGCATATGTGAGGCTCATGGAGACCGGGTTAATTTAGCAGGTTTGTGTTGCAGCTGTTCCTCGGGCCCTGGGCATAGGCAAGACTCGCCCCTAGCCTTCACAGTTTGACAGAGGGCAACCAGGGAGAGAGAGAAAGGGCTGGAAAGAAGGGAGAGAGTGTGAGCAACACTTTTTATGATCAAGTGAGAAAGACAAAGAGGGAGGGATTAGGTTATCATATGAAATTATATCATGTCAACATGTATACAACAGCTAATTGCAACTAAGGCCCCATCCACACTACTCCATTTTAGTTTAAAAACAAAGTTTTAAAACAAATACAATCTCCGTCCACACCAGCATTTTAGCTGCGTATCAGAGTTGATCTCCGTCTATACTAAAATGACTGAAAACACCACATCTAGTGGCTGTTCACGTACACTGGGCATGCGCGTGCCGGTGTAAACATGAAGCAGATTGTCTATTCCATAGTTACAGATGATTTGGCGAAATTCAATGCAATTCAATTCAATTTTATTTATATAGCGCCAAATCACAACAACAGAAAGAATAAAGTAATGCGGAGGAAAAATCACATCATGGACCATGAACGAGCAGGGACTGTTACTGAATGTAACATGGGAGTTAAAATCAGCTGTGGCGGCAGACTGAGAGTCGTCACAAAGTAAACGGCGACGTGTACAGTAACTTACAAGTGTAGGCCTAGGCTATAAGTGTTATTTGCACGGTACAAGATATTTTAATAAAAATACAAAATCAAAAACTCTGTCAGTAGCAAAACTTTTTTTTCACACTTCTCCGTTTTAGGTCTTCGTTTTCACCATTTTAGTCTGGGCGGGAGGAACTTAGCAAAAGGTCTCCGTTTTAAAACAAAAACCCAGTAGTGTGGATGGGGCCTAAACTGACCTCAGAAAGTGTTAGTTTAGAGGGTGTGTTCCTGATGGATTTGTGAGGAACTTTCACAAGCAAGCAGAAACCTCCAGGTCTGAAAAGTGACGCCAATGCAGATCCCTCAACCTACATTCTTTTTAAAGCCAGCAGGGAGAAACTCCACTGGTTGCAAAAAGATTGTATGCAAGCTTATGAAAAAATTACCCCACTTCTTACTTGATTTAATGCCTCAATAAATACTTTCCTAATGAGTTTATGGTCTTAATTGCTAGTTTTAAGTCTTCTTCAATACAGCATGATTTTCATTTTGTAAATTATGGTCCCACTTAGAGTAAAATACACGATGAAGCAGGGAATGCTTTAGAGCGTGGCTACCTTGTGATTGACATGTTGCTACCTCGGAGACCATTCAGGCGTAGCAATGTGCATCCCTCCCCAGCTCCACCCTCTCGTCCAAATATGGTCACTTCTGATCTATGGTCACATGTCCAATTTCGTGTGTATTTTGGGGTTTTGATATATTAGTGATGTTTAAATGTGTCCTAAAAAAAATCCTATAACTAATTAATAGTACCTCATACTTTATCACAGATCTAGAAACAATGGAACAAAAGGAAAAGATGCAGAAAAAATTATTATAATTTTTCAGTGAATGATTGATGATTCACCTTAACTATTAACAGTTGCTTCAGAAACATTCAGACCCTTTCACTGTTTCCACCAATTGTTGTAGAATATATTTATTTTTAACCTAATTCTAATTAATTAACCCTTGATGTGAATACTAAAACCACCAGTTTGTCAGTGTAACCCCATACCAGTTTACCACAACTGGTTTGGTAATGTTTCTTCTTTGCTGATCCTTTTCAGACATTTTCAGACTCAGTTCATTTGAGCTGCAGAGCAGGTTTTCTTCAAGGACATAATCCCCTCTGTTCTAACATGTCTCCCAGTGCCAGGCTTTGATCATTATTACCATAGCATCATGTTTTCATCAACATGTTTCATGTTTTAGGCATTTGAAGGTGGTTGACCTGGTTTTTGTCTCATTACAGCAGAGGCTATTTTTCCTAATGCTCTGAGTTTGGTAAACTCCAGGTGGGCTGTCAGATGTGTTTTACTCAGAGATGACTCTCATCTAGCCATTCTCATAAAAAGGGTTGATCCGTGGTGTGCTGCAGAGATGTTTATCTTTCTGCCAGATTCTCACATATCTTTTGAGAAAACCTGAACCCCTTTTAGATTGATCACAGTGAATTTTTGGTCTTCTTGGTTCCAAACTATGTCTGTATACTTTTATATACTTATATACTATATATACTATATACTATACTTTTAGGCTTTTAAAGTAAGTAAGGGAAAATGATCATGTAACCCACATTCACATTGGTTTTCTACCACTGCTTTTCTTCTTCTTTTGTTTTGTTGCACAAAGTTAACAATCACAGGAAGTCCACGTGACATCATGGGTATTGCACAGGTGTGCCTTAGGCTGGTCACAATAAAGGGCCACTCGAAAATGTGAAGTTCCATCACACAGCATGATACCACAGATGTCGCAAGCTTTGAGGGACCGTGCAATTGGTCCACCAGACTACAGGAATATCCATCAGAGCTGTTGCCCATGAATTGAATGTTCGTTTCTTTACCATAAGCCATCTCCAAAGGCGTTCCAGAGAATTTGGCCGTACATCCAACCGGCCTTCACAACCGCAGTCCACGTGTAACCACACCAACCCAGGACCTCCACATTCAGCATCTTCACCTCCAAGATTGTCTGTGACCAGCTACCTGGATAGCTGCTGCAACAATCGGTTTGCATAACCAAAGAATTTCTGCACAAACTGTCAGGAACAGTTTCAGGGAAGCTCATCTGCATGCTCGTTGTCCTCATCGGGGTCTCGACATGACTGGAACTTCGCACAGCCATTGAAGAAGAGTGGACCAACATTCCACAGGCCACAATCAACAACCTGATCAACTCTATGTGAAGCAGAAGTGTTGCACTGCGTGAGGAAAATGGAGGAAATTCCAGACACACACGTTTTGTTCAGTGTAGGTATAGTGTCTAAATTTATACCAAAAACAGTCCAATTTAAATTAAATCCTATACAACAAAAACATTAAAATGTTAAGGAATTGCAAAGCTGCTATACTCATCTTACCTTATTTAATTTTTTGTTGGTGAATGCAATGTCAAATTAGCACTCTATGGTTTCTTAAGTGAGGTAAAAGTGCACAAATACTTGATAACTACTGAGCTAAGTATTTTCTACTGCTACAAAATGTTACTCAGTTGATAATAAAATGCACTTTTTAACCAATGTGTTAAAATCAAGGGCAAGTGGACTTTCCCTCTCATCCATGAGGCTTTTTCTGTGCTGACTGACTGGCAGAGAATCCAAGCTATTTAACCTCTGTGGAATCATTATCAAGGTGATGAATACTGCTTGGTTCATAGTGCTCCTGGCTGTTGTATCAACATTTATTATGGTCATTGGAGCCAAGTCTGAAGGACTTTTGTTGGCTTTGTCACATGAGCCCAAATGTGAGAGTTTGTTTAAGCCTATCACATGATTTTTTGCCTGATTTGCCTGTCGGTTAGCTCGGCGACCGAGGCTGTGATCAGGGGTAAATCGGCGATCAATCGGCGGCCGCCAGTCGTTATGTGTGAACTACTCAACGAAGCATCAAAACAGCTCCCCGACACATCACTGACACATTGCAGATGCGAGCCAGATAGCTAGCATGCAAAATATCTAGAAGAGTCGGCCGACTCGACATCCACATCCAGCCAGTGAGAGAAGGCAGCTGGCGGAACAGGCAGCTACTTTTTCAACGCTAAACACTTTTTACTCACATCTAGCTGTCTCTGAAGCACAGACAATCCCTGCTACCTGCATGTGCTAATCCTTTCTTTCACCCATATTCTTTGTCTTTATAATTGTTAGCTGATGATGAATACTGCTTGGTTTGTAGTGCTCCTGGCTGTTGTAACAACAGTCGTTGTGGTCGTTGGAGTCTTTTGAGTCCAAGTCTGAATGACCGTCGTTGTCACATGAGGCCAAATGTGAGAGTTTGTTTAGTCTCTTGGGAAGGAATGAAAGGAAGACCTGGGGCTGAATCACTACTTATCCCCCACTTACAATGCTTGAACACAGGGGGGCAGAGGGGACTGCAAGACCTGGCCTTGTGTCAGTGTCACTGTCGACAGTAACCTTCCAAGCTCCCCAGACAAGAAAGCAAAAGTCTGATGGGATGCATCACTGAGGGTCTAGGCAGAGGAGTCAGCACCCATTTTCTGGAGGATCTGAGACAGAGCCAGTATAAGGTGAGAGGGGGAATTACCGATAAGCTCCATGCATGCTGCTATGTTGTAACTCCTAGCAAGGAGGAACTGAGGCA